TTTTTTTTTTTGGAGCTTTGAAATCTAGTACTTTGATTCCAATTCTCAGAATCTCCCAATTGGCATTCTGGGGGATTTTTGTAATGGGAGATCAAAGCTGAAATTTCTTCAATTTCTGCAATCTCTTGGTTTTTTTATTTTGCTAATCAGAGGTTTGCTTTGGGAGTGAGTCTTTCCCCCCCATGCCAATTCCTCTGCAGGTAAAAGAGCTGTTCCTGTTTTCCCTTTGCCCTGTGGATCCAAGAGTGATTTACACTGGGGAAAGGAAATGGGAGGAAAGGGTTAGACACTTCTTCCCCAGTACCATTCCCCTGATTTTCAAAGCAGCCCTTTGGGGTGGCTATTTGGCAACACCCATGCACACACAAACCAACCCACATAGGATGCCTAATCATGGAAAACAAGGTAAAGGAGAAGGCTAGACATGCCATTTTGATTTCAGAGTAAGAGGTTTTTTTTTATTATTTCTTGGGCTTTTGCAGACACTATTGCATTGGCCTTTGTTTGTTATAAATCTTGCCCATTTCGACAGGACATTTCCAAGTAAGTAATTCAGGGTCACATCCTACTCTCCTGCAAATAATTTAAAAACGTATGTGTCTATGCATTTTAATCTGTGAGTTGCCTTGAGTTTCATATTATCATTGAAAGCTGGGATATTAATGCCCACATGGATAAATCAACAAATTGGGTCACAGACTTACACATTTCACACTCACACCTGTGGGAGTTTCCTTCACATGCTGAATAGCTGAAGACTTTAGCAAATGGCTACCTGTACACATGATCTTTGACAGGGTGATCCGACTTGGTTGGTTTGTTGATGTCAGAAGTTCTCCAGAACTCATCTGATCTTCAAAGCTATGCAGGGTCAACCCGATGGGAGATTACCAATAAATACCAGGTGCTGTAGGCTATATTTCAGAGGAAAGAGCTGGCAAAACAACCTCTGAGTATTCCTTGCCTAAACAAAACCCCATGAAATACATGAGGTTGCCCTAAGTCAACAGGTGACTTGAAGACACATACACACACAATATACTCTGCTGCTGCAAGCCGAGGAGGGCAAAAAAAGCAATGCTAGCACCAGCAGCATTTTGTGTATTCAATTCAATTCTTTTTTTACCATCTCTAATTCCTTCCCAGTGCAAGCAACAGGAGGGAAATGGTTCACGCCAGCTCCAGGGCTAGCATTATTTCAACCCCCCCACTGGGAGGAGGGCATAATGTTGGCTAGGAGGATCCAAATATTATGACTGCTGATAGCTAAAGAAGCAACAAAGGAAGCTGTTGGTAAGTCCTATAGTAATTGTATGGTGAACAGCTAAGGACACAGGAAAATAGAAAACAATCACAACAAACATTTGACTACTGTCATCAAGTGAATAGTATTATGTAAGATAATAAGCTATATATTGATTGGCAGGAAGAAATGCCTAGCTAATAGAACTCCAAACAATCTGCTCATATCAGTAAATTTGAAATATTTAAATACATTTATAAATAAAACAGAAGAGACTGACTGTCCCCAAGTCTCATCCTGTATATACATTTAAAGCTAGGATCTAACATTGAATGAAGTGGAGGCGGCAGTCAAGAAACCAGAAGACTAGGAGTGGGAAAGGGAGTGATGATGGAAATAGACATGATCATAAAGAGCAAAAATATACAAACTGAACACTAAAGTTAGAATCATGCAAGCCATTGTATTCCCCATCATGTACAAATTTGGGAGTTGGACTGAGAAGAAGGCAGATAAGAGGAAAATCAATGCCTGTGAGATGAAGTGCTGGATAGCCAAAAAGACTAATAAATCAGTCCTTGAACAGATAAAACCAGGAATCTCTCTGGAAGCCAAGATGATCAAATTGTGGCTGTCATACTTTGGCCACATAATGAGAAGGCAAGACTCATTAGAAGAGACAATAATGCTAGGAAAGGTGGAGGGCAGTAGAAACAGAGGAAGACCATATACCAGATGGATAGACTCAACCAGGGAGGTCACAGGCCTGAAATTAAAGGACTTAAATAGAGCAGTGGAGGACAGGGACTCTTGGAGATATCTCATCCACAAGGTTGCCATGAGTCAAGGATGACTTGAGGGCAGTTAACAACAACAAAGCTTAGCCATTTTTCTGACCTAATAGGTCTGCTCACATGTTCTGAATATCCTTAAACTAATCACTTGTTTTATAAGACTTGTACAAGGGTTTCCAATTCTAAAGTCCAACAAATTCTTCCAGCTGCTACCTGACGCAAAGCAAATGGAAGAGCTATTTCTTTGCAGTTATATAGCAGACTCATATACATCAGGATGCTCTCACCCTGCTTGCCAGTTTCATGTTTTAGCTAATCTTCAGTTTTCTTTCTCTCCTGGCTGTGGCTTCTCTTTTACTGGTCACCATGTTAGTGGACTCCATCTGTTTCCACTTTGGTGCTGTGTCAGATGTAGACTCCCTAGACTGGAAAAAGGCTCAGTGTGTTGTTGTGCATGCACGTGTGGTACGAATGAATCCTGCGAGAGAAGATGATGTATAAATATAGCCAGTGAAATGGAAATTGTCTGTATTTCTCACTACATTCCTGAAATTTTAATGCATGTGTACAGCTTAACTCTTTTCCACCCCATCAAAAAGGTCTGAGGATTGTATATCTTTGTAAAAAGGCTATGGAGCCATTGTGGTGTAGTGTTTTGAGCATTGGATTTTGTTTCTGGAGAACAGGATTCAAATCTTCAGTCAGCCATGGAAACCCACTGGGTGATCGTGGGCAAGTCACATTCTCTGCATCTCAGAGGAAGGCAAAGGCAACCCTTCTTTAAACAAATATTGCTAGGAAAACCCCATGATAGGGGTGAGAGACACCATAAGTCAGAAAGAACATGTAAGCATAAAATAACAAAAGAGGTTGTGATTTTTTTTGCCTGACCTCATCCATGGTTCTAGTAGCCATGACTCCAGGTAAAAACTGTTTTTGAAAACGCAGTTAAGTTTGCAGTACACAAGTAACATTAGGCAAAACTTTAAAGAACATTTTGATTTTACTCTGCAATGTTCATTGTACTTTAGGTATGTATCTGGCAGGCTGTGCATCAGCAGATTACCATACCTTTCACTTCTGTTAAAATTGTTAGGATTTTACACTGATACTAAAGTAGTTTTATTCACGAACCTATATGTTTCATTAGTATTTCTATAGCAAAAGGAGCCAGTCAATAAAGATGGACATGCAGAATCAGTGGCAAACTCTCAAGCTCTTATTTGTCACTGATCTACAAAGCTGTAGAGAGAGAGGGAGATTTATACGGAAACATGTCACAGTTGTACCTGTTTCTTTTTCCTCCTCTTTTGGTATTCCAGAAAAGCCTGCTGTGACCCTGAAGTAGAGAAGTTGTGCTTGTCAAAAATCTGGCCTGTTCTTTAAGTCTGCTGCCACACTATAGAATTAATGCAGTTTGACACTGCTTTAACTGACATTGCTTAATGCTATGGAATCAAATTTATAGTTTGTTGTGGCACCAGAGCTCTCTGACAAAGAAGGTTAAATATCTCCCAAAACTACAATTCCTAGAATTCCGTAGCATTGAGGCATGGGAGTTAAAGTGGTGTCAAGTTGCACTAATTCTGCAGTGTAGATGCTGCCTAAGAGAGCAGCCCAGAAGGCCTCAGTCACTGCTAGCAATAGATGTGGAAAGAATGGGAAGGAATGGATACAATTCTGGCAAAGTGGCCAGCATTGGGACCTCCTGCAAAACTTCCTTACAGGCAAGTTTCCTGCATTCAGTTACGTTGTTGTTTAAGTTATGTTGGCTCTTCAAGACATTTTAGACTTATGGTGACCCTAAGGTTGACCTATCCTGGGGTTTTCTTGGCAAGATTTGTTTAGAGGAGGTTTGCCATCACCTTCCCCTGAGGCTGAGAGCATGTGACTTGCCCAAGGTCACCCAGTGGATTTCATGTCTCAGTGGGGAATCAAACCCTGGTCTTCGAAGTCATAGTCCAGTACTCAAACCACAATCTATGAAGTAGATAGGTTGCAGAAGAGGGAAAAATCCAATGCCATCAAGCTTGACCTATATGGCCATACCAGAAACCAGAGGGCAATGGTCGAGTGGAGTGAATTTACTTATGCCCTCTTTAAAAGCCAGAGATTGCTGCTGTATGATTCAAGAGGTTGCCATAACTAAGTAACTCTTCCATTTGAAAACATCTGGTGTATGCTCTGTTTTTCTGTATTCAGAAACAACAGCCAATGACCAAGTGAATGATTTGAATTTATGTCTAGATGAGGACTATGTTTACGTATATGTTTAACTACATTTAAAAAAAACCCACATCTACCAGGTGCGTTTTCAAAGGAGCGAAAATGCTTTGCCAAAATCACATCCTACAATTCTACAATTTAATCTGTGAACGAGATTTACTAGCCTATATTTAATTACAGGAATCTTCAAGTGTAGGAAGGAGATATAGACTGCAGAGGTGAAATAGCACAATCTGTAGCAGAATGGAGGATGACTTTGGCTGATGCACTTTTTCTGTACTTGGAAAAAATGGAATTAGTAAGCAAGTGAGCAGGGATTTTAAAATGTGCTAGCATTGCCAAGTCAGGACTATCACAGGCCCTGAGATTTGAGGGCCAAAACCTGGGACCTAAGGACAACTCCTTGTGATATTACAGGGGACAGACCCTGGTGACTCTGCAAGGCTAATGCTACAAGGAGCAGCCCTTGCTGGTGTCATTAAGCAGGATACATTAGTAACCACAGCTGCACAGAGTGTACCATGCAAATAAAAAATAACAACACAACACATCTAATTTTATAAAGGAGAAAATGCACACACACACACTTCAAAGCAATGCTTTTGCCCTGAGATTCCTTCCTCTTGCCCTGAGGACCAGAGAAGTGATTCCAGCCCTGAGATTTGGGAACCCACAAAAGACTTTTGTTGAGGAGATTTCAAAAGATCAAAATGGCATTATCTGCCCACTCTATGAGACCCAGGGTGGCACAGTGGTTTGAGTGTTGGACTATGACTCTGGAGACCAGGTTTGAATCCCCGCTCAGCTATGAAACCCACTGGGTGATCTTGGGCAAGTCACATGGTCTCAGTCTCAAGGGAAGGCAATGGTAAACCTCCTCTGAACAAATCTTGCTGGGAAAACCCCATAACATGTTCACTTTGGGATTGCTGTAAGTCACAAATGACTTGAAGGCACACAGCAACAACAAAAACACACTCTATACACTTGCTGTGCTTTGGGTTATCTCTAGCCACTCCACCATTGCAAACAGCACATTCTGGAGCAAAACATAACTATGTAGAGCTGTCACTATATTTCTGAGCACAATTCAAAGTGCTGGTTACCATATGTAAAACCCTATAAGGGTGGACCATATCTACCCCTATGAGTCTGCCTGATTTCTCACAGTAAGGAGATTAATGCACAGCTTAAAAAAGTACTTCTGCTGAGCTGAAGTCTCGTTTGGGTTGCAGCTGGGTTCCATTGCATGTATTTTGCTGCTGAATCCGCTGGCCAAGTGCAGATCAAGCTGGAAACCTCCCTGGAAGCCAAGATGACCAAACTGAGACTGTTGTACTTTGGACACATCATGAGAAGGAAGGACTCAATGGCAAAGACAATAATGCTGAGGAAGGGAGTGGAGGGAACTAGGAAGAGAGGAAGGCAACATGCCAGATGGATGGACTCTATTAAGGAGGTCACAGATATTAAGGGTTTGCAGGGTTTAAGCAGAGCAGGGGAGGACAGAGGGTCTTGGAAAAGTCTCATCCACAGGTCACCATGAGTCAAGATCGATTCAAGGGCAGTTAACAACAAAAATAAAGAAAGTGAATTATTCACTTTATTGATATATGTGTTTGTGTGTGTATTTTTGGTGTGAATTCAGTACAGGGTTCTCATCCAGCTGCTTATCCTCCCAAATAAATGTAGCCACTTTAAGGCAGCTCTTTTAAAATGGGTTGCAATGTGGGTATGCAAGAAGGAACCAACATAAAGTGTGAGACAGGGAGAATCAGAAGCCATCCTTTTTTCTACATCCTGGGATTTAGGGAGGAACGTTTAGAATCTAACATACACGGATGACACCTAAACAGATCAATCCTGAAATCTCCCTGGCAGCCAAGATGAGGTTCAACCTGAGTTCAAAATGAGGTACAATTGAGATTGTCATACTTTGGCCACATCATGAGAAGGCACCACTCTTTGGAAAAAAACAATAATACTAGGAAAGGTGGAGGGATGTAGAAAGAGAGGAAAACCACATGCCAGATGGATGGACTCAATCAAGGAGGTCAAAAGTATGAATTTACAGGACCTAAGCAGAGCAGTGGAGGACAGGGGAGCTTGGAGGTGCCTGATACACAGGATTGCCATGGATCGCTATAACAGTGTAGTGTGATATTGATCAGAGTGTATTTAGGATATTTAAGTCTGCTCAGGGGTAAAACAGCCATTAACTGTTTGATATGTACAGGAAGGAAGGAATAGCAGACAGGGATAGCTAGGTTTTGCTTTCTAGTATTACAGGCCAGTATTACAAGTAGGGTAAAAACTATAAGAGAGAGCCAATGTGATGTAGTGAATTGAGTGTTAGACTATGACTCTAGGAAACCAGGGCTTGAATCCTTGCTTGGTCATGGAAACCCACTGGGCGATATTAGGTAACTCCACTCTCTGAGCCTCAGAGGAGGGCAACAGCAAACCCCCTCTGAACAAATTTTGTCAAGAAAACCCAGTGACAGATTTGCCTTAGGATCACCCTAAGTTGGAAATGATTTGAAGGCACACTACTACTACTGCTACTGCTACTACAAGTAGTATGTTTGCTTGTATCTGAAAACTAAGTTCTGCACTTTAAAATGAATGCCAGCAATTCCATATTCTCTAGCTCTTATCAGTCATAGACAATGCAGGTCAAAATTAACACAGACATACAGCAGGGATGGACAATTTGAACAGGTCTGGAGACCACCACCCCTTGGAATCTCTTGCAAAACCTCCTCTCAAAGAAACTGGAGCTTCCATTTTAATTTGTTTAAAGGCACAAGTATTTTCAAAAGGTGAGTTATGATTCCTGGAGAGTTCTGGGAGCAAATATTTTGTTGATTTAAAGAGAACACTTGCTTCTTAGGTTCGGGTGGGAGGACTCTGGAAAGTCTCCATGAAGTATACAATTTCCTTTCCATATTTTCAGGTTTATTTTAAAAAAATACCTGATGCAGAGCCCAGTCTATGGCTCCAGTAAGAAAAAAGATTGTGGATTGGAAATGTGTAAATGTAAAGGAATACATAGAGAGAGAACTATAGAGAAATGCAGACAAAAGAAAACCTGTCAGAAAGAAGTGCTGGTGCACATGTATCCATAGGGTACATTTGCAGTGTGATCAAGTCAAGAGGAAGTGACTATTCACTGACAGTAAAGGCTATGCAGAAGAGGAGCTGACTGTCACTGGGAGGATGAGGATGCATAAAAGATGTAAGAATCCAAATTGGATTTGGAAAGGTCACTTTGCATGACTTACGTAAATGTCAACCTCATTTTTAGAGTGCACTGCCAAACCCATAGACCTTTTGTCTCTATCTCTCTTTTTCACTAACTAGTCCATCTCATGGAAGTACCAATCCTTCCATTATTGTATCACCACAGAAACGGGAATGAACTCCATTTGCCAGTTCCTTTGTGCAAAATGTATGTGTTCTGGCTCTTTTAACTAAAGAATAGTTTCATCTTGCTTTGTGCATCTGCTTAATGGTAGATGTTAAAGGTACTGTAATTTAAAATTCTCTTGTGACATGTGAGTTCTGCCTTCCCCAGATCATGGTTGGGGCAAAATGTTTTTGGGGGACTATAGTTCCCAAAATCCCCCAGCCAGTATGGCCAGTGAAATTCTGAGAGCTCTAATCAAAAATAAAACCAAACAAAACAAAACTCCCTTCCAAGCTCTAGCTTTCCCAACATGGAATCTAGTGCTTTTAGCATTCTCAGCACAGCAGTACCAAAGGTGAAAGTGGAATATAACACAAGATTGTAGGATTACACTAGTGGCCAGGCAAATCCAGCAACCTCTCCCCCCATCCTCAACATCAGAAATTGGATTCACTTTTGGATTTGGTTCTGAAGTCAATTTAGGGCACATCCAGATTGATTGAAAATTCCCACCTCTCAATGTTCCTGTTCTTTCTGATTTTTATATTGGGTTAAAATAAACTGACCTGGAAAGCTGGTATGAAAAATCTCCAATCACACTATGAGTTGTCAGAAAATATTATGGGATGAACAAAACAAGTATGGATTTCCAAAATAAAATCAGAAAGATCAGGAACAAAATCTGGGACTTTCTGGTCTATTTAAGCAGTCTAGATGAGCTCTTAATGCCATTATTTCCATAACCTCCAGCTATTCTGATTTGTCAGGGACTGTTCTGATCAATCCTCTGTTCTACTTTTTCATCTACTTTTAAAATGTCCTGGTTTCTCTCTTCTCCTCCTCCTTTTCCCCGTTGTCATCAGATTACTTCATTTATTGTAAACTGAATTCAAATTGAGAAAATAGTTTGTACTCAGTTAACTCTGTGTGGACGTTATCACATGGGGAGTCACAGGGAGAAAGTGGAAATAAATGGGCACGAACGGAAGTCTTTAATTTACGGGATTTGTCCCGTTCCGCCTCGTCTGATAACTAAATTCAAATTTAAAAGGGGGTTAATTCGAACAAAAACCTGATCTTTTCATTTTCGTGACTTTTGAGGATTTGAAAAGATCAGGTTTTTGTTCAAATTAAACCCCTTTTAAATTCGAATTTAGTTATCAGACGAAGTGGAATGAGACAAATCCCGTAAATTAAAGTCTTCCGCTCGTCCCGTTTATTTCCACTTTCTCCCTGCGACTCCCCGTGTGATAACGTCCTGTGAGGAGGAGAGGAATGAGAAACAAATCATTCCCTTCCCACATAACTGCTTCAGCCTCTCATAGCTTTTCTGTTCTTCCTCATTAATACCTTTTGCCAGCTTGACCACATTCTAATGTTACTTGGCCATATATGTCCTAGTTTTCATTTGTGAAATGTTGAATGATATGGGTTTTGGACAACAACTCTCAATATTCCCAGGCAAAATGGTCAGATGAAGATTCTGGGAGCTGTGGTCTAAACAAATAACCTTTCTGTGCAAAGTCTCTGGCCAAAGTCTCCAACTTTGCAGGAAAAAAAAACTCCCCATAAACATCCAATTAGAGAAGAAGCAGAGTATCAACAGCAATGATAACTCTGTGGAAGCAGAAGGGACACTGGCAGCTGGCTAACAAGTTCACGGAGTTATATATTTGGATTCAGCACTAATTTAGAGCTCAGGCCTGTTCACTGTTCACATCAAAACACTTAGTCTAAAGTCTTGCTTTGTCTCATGTGGATGACTGGACTTCTTTGTGTGTTTGTGTGTGTTTTGTCTGGGTCAAGGGTGGTGTTTGACACCTTGCACAATAAAGTCCTTAAGACTTTAAATTTTGCAGCAGACTTTTGCAAGAGCTGTTTTCTCAGCCATTTCATCACTGTCCTGGTCTAAACATGATTAAGAGCTCTGGCGCTGTCAAAGAGCTGTGAGTTAGCTCCCTCTCCCTCTCTCTTTCGCTTTATTATTTATTAACCTACTATGCAGAGACTGCGTGGGCTAGTAGATAGATGAGTGCAATTTCAAACACACACACAGAGTGAGAATATTGCAGCTGACCTCATCCAGAGATGTGCTTGCAGCTCATTGCCACAAATGTTCTTTCCTCCAGCTTCAGTATATTTGGAGTAACACACCTGTACCAGGCCAAATTACTACTACTGAAGTGAGTCAACAACACCATTAACATTTTCAGAGCTTGAAGACTGACAGAAGCCAAGGGAAGGAAAGGGGAATCTAGCAGCATCTGTTACACTTTTCTGAGAGTTGAACATTGGACTCTATCAGATTTCCTAGTTTTTATATCGGTGGCATCAATTCCTTTCAGATCTCCTTCACAAGCAAAACAAAGGGACCTCAATGAAGTATTTTTCTTTCTTAG